GGAGGAGGAGGAGGAGGAGGAGGAGGAGAGGCAGGAAGACATGGACGAGGAGGAAAAGGAGGAGGAGGAAGGAACGGAGAAGGAGGAGAAGCACGAGGAGGAGGAGGAATAACAGAGGAGAAAGAGGACCTCATGTTTGGGACCTCATGTTTGACGTTCGAAGCGGTCATGCGTCACGCCGCCTAAGACGAGGAGAAGGTGGAGGAGGAGGAGGAGAAGGAAGACAAGGAGGAGGAGGATGATCTGTTTGCACCAGGATGCTCATCTGCATGCCAGCCGTTCGTGTATAAGACGCGTCTCCAGGCAAAGTCATGTGGGTACAGGTTTGAGTGCTTCGTCTGGCTACAATCCAGGGTTAATGAATCCTCTGGTCTGTACTCGCCGGACTGCAAGCGCAGGTGTGCTCAGAATGTGAGCAAATTCTAAGACACATGTAACGTATGAGGGTATATCTAGTGTTGGCCGTAAAACGGGGCCAGCATCCTAGCAGATCAAGTGTCGTCTCTCTTCTCTGCGCATGTGGACCGTAGCGCGGGGCCCACTCCCCAGCATAAACGAGGCCTCCGCCGTCGGAGAGGCCAGGCCGAGCTCGCGCGCCCGACCGGGTTGCCACGCACCACCTCGGAAGACGAGGGAGGGCAGGGGTAGCAAGCAGACCTCGAGACGATTGGGCAGAAACTGGCCCTGAACGCGTCCTGGGGCCCGAACTCGGAAGATACGAACTCCCAGAAGTTCGTATCCGGGAGGAGGAGGAGAGGAGGAGGAGGCGGAGGAGGAAGAAACCGAGGAGGAGTAGGAGGAGAGAGAAGACAAGGAGGAGGAGAAGGAGGAGGGCAACAACTAAGAGGAGGAGGAGGAGGAGGTGAAGGAAGACGCGGATGATGGTGATACTGATGATGGTGATGATGCTGCTGCTGATGATGATGATGATGATGGTGATGATGATGATGACGATGACGATGACGATGATGATGATGATGATGATGATGATGATGATGATGATGATGATGACGATGATGATGATGATGCTGATGATGATGATGATGATGATGATGATGATGATGATGATATGGTTGATGATGATGATGAGGAGGAGGAGGACGCTGAGGATGATGATGCTGATGATGAGGAGGAGAAAGAAATGGAGGAGGAGGAGAAAGAAAAGGAGGAGGAGGAGGAAGAAACGGAGGAGGAAGAGGAGGAGGAAGAAGGAGGAGGAGAAGGATGACAAGGAGGAGGAGGAGGAGGTGAGGAGGAAGACAAGTAGGAGAAGGAGGGAGAAAAGGAGGAGGAGGAGGAGGAGGAGGAGGAAGAAACGCAGGAGGAGGGGGAGGGAGAAATGGACGAGGAGGAGGAGGAAGGAACGGAGGAGGAGGAGGATGAAACGGAGGAGGAGGAAGAAAAGGAGCAGAGGAGCAGGAGGAGGAGGAACAAACGGAGGAGGAAGGAGGAGGAGGAGGAGGAAGGAGGAGGGGGCGCTCCTGCTCCGCGGCAGCCGCGCCTCGCCCGTGCGCGCCGCGCGCAGGTGCGGCGCCTCGCCTGCCCGCGCCCCCGGCCCCGCGTGGGGGGCCGCGCGCCCGCGCGCCGCGGCGCCCGGCGCGGGGGCGCCTCCGCGAGGAGGCGCCCTCCGATCGACGATCCCTCGCGCTGCGACAAAAAGCACGACGGGAAGTTTTTCGCTACAGTCGGGCCGCTGAAGGAAGGAACGCTAAGTAAGGAACGGAGCCCCGTCTTGCCTTCTTGGCCCTGTAAGCGCCTCCGTGCCCCAGGAGGGCAAGAGGAACAGCACTGGAGGAACCTAAGGACCATCGAGCCCCTTCCGAACCCAAACTGTTCCTTATTTCAGCGTCTTGACTGTAATTTCGGCCTCGTGAGGCCCTTACTGGGCCTTGGGACCATCAAAAAACTACTCAGGGTGAAAAACCGATCCCGGGGAAGGGGTCCAGACCTCTGGGGGTCGACGCTGCGAAAAAATCACGACGACGGAGGTCTGGTGAGCGTGTGTTGCAGATGGACCCAGGCCAGAAAAACATCCCTCAAGAACATGCGACCCTTCGCAGGCCACATCACACAGAATACCCAAGGCGACCTTCCCAAGGATGCACAAGAGCATCCAACAAACACGAAGAACACCAGGGTGCACTCCCCTAACCGACCTCGATCTTCTACCTCGGCCCGACTGCAGCGCCATCGTGTGCTTGTGCACCGGGGCCCCTACGGGCCCCTACGACCCAGGCGGGGGCACGAGGGCCGACACGGGCTGCGTGCAGTCAGGGGACGCCGGACGAGGCAAACACACACACTCACAATGGGCTAATACACGTGTGGTCTAGATCGAATGGGCATTGCGTTGGTTTCACGCCAGGAGTTCCCGTCTGGAGCAGGGCCTGGGAGATCATCACACACCGATCGGGCTCAGAAGATGTTGCATGGGGTCTGGGGCTCCAGTCGTGACTTTTCGCGATGTTGCGTTTTTTCGCAACGTCGGCTCTCAAGACAACACAGGGTGGCGACTCAGACATGCTCGCGTCGTGGAACAAAAAATCCAGACGGGAAGCTTTGGGCAAGTGTGGGCCTGGCCCTGGGACCGCATAACACTGGCGCGGGACGCAAAAACCAGCCCCGCACCTGCAAAAAGCAAGACGTGGCATGTCTGGGGACGAGGAGGAGGAAGAGGAGGAGGAGGAGGAGGAGGAGGAGGAGGAGAGGAGGAGGAGGAAGGAGAAGAGGAGGAGGAGGCAAAAGGAAGGAAAAGGAAAAAAGAAGAAGAGGAGGAGGAGGAGGGAGGAGGAGGGGGAGGAGGAGAGGAGGGGGAGGAGGAGGAGGAGGAGGAGGCGGAAGGAGGGGAAGAGAGGAGGAGGAGGAGGGGGAGGAGGAGGAGGAGGGGGAGGAGGAGGAGGAGGAGGAAGGGGAGGAGGAGGAGGAGGAGGGGGAGGACCCCCGGCCCCTGGGGGCCGCGCTCGGGCCCCAGGGCCGTCCAAGACGCGCACCCGTCACAGTCTCCCTGGGCACAAAGGGTTTGCGGAGGGTCACGTGTCGCGGCTTCGCCGTGAGCACAGAGCGCTCTCGAACCGAGACGCGAGAGAACGAGAAAGAGGAGGAGGAAGAGAAAGAGAGGGAGGGCGGAACAAGAGAGAGGGAGAGAGAGAGAGAGAGAGAGAGAGAAAGAGAGAGCCTCGCCCTCAAACTTGGCCGAGGGAGTGGTGCACGGGAGTCTCGCAGAATGTTTCCCTCCCACCCCCGCGCCGCGCACAGGGCTGCCCGATCGAGCGCGCCGGCCGCCAGGCGCCCCCTCGGAAGAGGGGGGCTCGATGCGCGTGTGCGCTACGTCGTTCAGTCGGCCACGGAGCTTGTGGTGCACCTACCCTTAGGTCGGGCATGTCCCCCTACGGGGGGATTTGGGATGAAAATTCGAAGCTACTCAAGAAACACTCCAAACTTGTAAACAGATACTCAAAAATCGTCCCCATAATATTTTTGACTATTCTGGAAGACTCATCCTGTAGAAGGACAGGCCCGACTCAAACCTACCCAGACCTGCGACATCGTGATTTTTGTCACAACGTCGACCCCCAGAGGTCTGGACCCCTCCACCAGGACCGGTCTGTCACCCTGAAGCGTTTTTTGATGGTCGGGAGGCCTGGCAAGGGCACCTGGAGGCCGAAACTAGCGAGGAACCTCCCGAGACGATTTCTTCACAGCGCCAGGGGGTCTGGGCCTGACTTGCAGACACCGGGCTCCATACAACTCGCGCACCCAGTCTCTCGCGCTGCACAACTCCTGGGCCCCAAGGAGAGGCCGCCTCCGGGCCCCCCGGGGCCGTCAACAGAAGTGCCCAGTGCGAGAAACCAGCCCCTCCTCCGCCTCCGCCTCCGCCTCCACCTCCACCTCCACCTCCTCCTCCTCCTCCTTCTCCTCCTCCTCCCCCGTTCCCCTCCTCCTCCCCCGTTCCCCTCCTCCTCCTCCTCCTCCTCCTCCTCCTCGTCCTCGTCCTCCTCCTCCTCCTCCTCCTCCTCCTCCTCCTCGTCCTCCGCCTCCTCCTTCTCCTCCTCCTCCTCCTCCTCCTCCTCCTCCTCCTCCTCCTGAGGGCGTCGTGTTTGTCTCAAAACGTGCCCCCTCGGAGGTTTGGACCCGCTCCCAGGGAGCAGCTTCTTCGTCAGAGTCGTTCTCCAGCGGCCCCCGGGCACGGCGGGTGCCCCTGGGGCCGATGACTGCCACACCCCCGCGCGTCCAGATGTTCGTCGCGACGGGAGGACCCTGCAGCGACACAAACCATGCCACGTCCCCCGAACCCCCTCGCGCTGTGGAGGAGTCGTGCTGGAAGGTTTTTCGCCATTTTCAGCCTCCAGGGCCCCTTCCTGGGCCTCGGCGAAAAACTGGTCTAGGGGAAGGGGTCCAGACCTCTTGGGGTCGACGCTGTGACAAAAATCACGACGTCGGGGATCTGGGTCTGAGGAGCGGGGGCCCCCCCTCAGGTCGGTCGCGCCCCGCAAGGCGCGGGCCGCGGCTGCCCTCTGCCCCCGCGCCACCGCGTTGCGCGGCCGATCCCAGGACGCAAGACTCGAGCGTTCAGAGAGATCCACCTCCGTCCTCCCGTCCTCCTGCCCCCCTCCGCCCTCCTCCTCTGACTGCCCCCCCCCCTCCTTGCGGGCGGAAGGGGAAGAACGAGGTGGCCCTGCAGCGGGACGCGCCGGGGCTGGGGCGTATGTGCACGGAGCTCCGCGGCCGACCCACCCACGCGGCGCACGGCGGCAGGGCCTGGGCCTGCGCGCCGACCACCCCCGGAGGCAGCCCCCGCTGCCCCCGACAGCCCCCCCGAGCAGCCTGGGGTGGCCCTGGCACCGCGGAGCGCTGGGGCGCGGAGCGCCCCGAGAGCGCCGCCAGAGGCTGCGCCGGGGGCTCGCTTGGAGCCAGCCTGGGGGTGCCTCGGGGGAGCTGCCTGCGCGCAAGTCCCGGAGCCCTCCCGGCGGGGAGTGCAGCGCGTATCGGGCCCCTCCGACCCCCTTCCGGGCTGGCGGCGGGCTTCCGCGCACGCGCTCCATCTGCAGCAGCGGCACGGCGGGGTGGCGGCGCCGCCCGTCCTCCACGGCGGCGGCGGCGGCGCCGCGGCTCGCGGAGGCGGCCGTGCTGCCTCGGCCGAGGCCCACTGCCGCGGCCAGCGCGGCCGCAGCGGCGGTGGCAGCAGAGGCCGCGTGGTGCGCGGGCTGCTGCTGATCCTGCGCAGGGGGCACCTGGGGACCACCACCGCGCCTAGCCAGGGCGCTGCTGCGACCCTGCACAGTGCCTATGCACCATCCCTATCGGCCCCCACACGGCGTATGCGCCCTCCTGGCCGAGGCCAACAGGGCCCATGCACCATCCTGGGGCCAAGGGGGTGTTGGCCAGCCGTGGTGGTGTATAGGTGCTTGCTGCGAAGGCAAGGAAAACAACTGCAGCGTAAACGCGCGCTCTCGGAGGTCAGCGCTGATTTCTGGGATCGGCGCTGGACTCGGACACCCTGGACTTAGGTCGGGCATGTCCCCCTGCAGGCCCTACAGGGGAATTTTGGAGGACAAATAAAAAATACGAAACCAAAACTCCATGATGGTCAAACAATCATCAAACATTTGTCCCCAGACTATTTTTGTTAGCTATTTTTGAATATTCCTTCTGTAGAGGGACGGGCCCGACTTAACCCTGGACCTTCGGCGGTGGACACACCTCCCTTTAGTAAACCTCCCCGTAGTGAAACCGGCCTGGGACCAAAACCGACGGACCTGGACCCGCAAAAATGACGGCCGCGACGCCCTCTCGCGAACCGAAAACGGCCAATTCCTCAATCGACGTGTCAGGGCAGTAGGTCTATCCACCTGCGAGACCTCTGGCCCTGGCGCGAGTAACGCGCCAGGGGCGGCGCTCGAAGCGCCGCCAAAGGGGGGGCCACGGGTGGGGCGGCGGATGGCAGATCCAAGAAGTCCGCGAGAACCTTCGAAGGTGTATGCTTGTGGATGCCACGACAATGGACACCCCGACAGTCCTATCATTGAATTTAAACTGTGGGTAACATGTCGGAAACATGTTATAAACATGTTTTTAACATGCTTTTTTCGACATGTTTAAAGCATGTCCAACACATGTTTTAGACACCTGGAAATTGTTTGGCAGCATGCTTCCTCTCCACTGATCGTCCTCCACAAGTGTATACTGAACTGTGATTTCCTCCCTCTGCTTCGAGGAGCTCCTGCTGCCGCGGGCGAGCCGCCATGCCCGACTGGATAGGGGTGCCTGCAGGGCAACGCAAGGGGGTGGGGGGTGGGGGGCAGCCCAGGGGGGGGAAACGTCGAGCTCGAATCGGCGATATCGGCGAGATGCCCCAGACAGCGAATCCGAGCGGTCCTGGGCGGGGTGGGTTATCAGACTTCACATCGGTGATGAATGGGCGATTGGGGGTCGATGCGTCCGTCACCCGCTGAACCTATCCCTGATGGTTTTCGGGCCATAGCTGTTGGTCGGACGTGTCCCCCCATACAGGCGGATTTTGGACGAAGAATCAAGATACCCAAGCAACTATTCAAACATACCCCAATCAAACATCGTCCCCGGACGAGTGTTTTTTTGGAGGGGATATTACTCCTGTAGAGGGACAGGCCCGACTTAACCATAGCTCAGCTCTCCGGCGGCCTGGGCACCCTGGGAAAACGCTTCCTCGGCGAGGCGCAGCCGCTGGAAAACGTACCCCGATGGGCTGGAAAACACAGCCGAGAGAACCGACGAGAAAGCTAGAAAAAACGTGAACCTCGTCTCGCTCCTCGAGCGTGGGGGAGCCGCCGCCCCCGTTGATAGCCCGATATCGACCCCCGTCGCGGGCAGCCACCGCGCGCCCAAGGCGCTCCGACCCCCGTCGCGGCGCGACGACGAGGCGGGGTTGACCCCCGTCGGGGGGGTACCCCCCCCACGCTCCTCAAGGAACCCAAGCGTCTCCTCCCTGCTGTTGCCCGTGGGTGCCGTCCGGCGGGGTGCCGGGGAAGCTCACCTGCGCGCGCACGCGGGGGTCCTGCAGCTTCTCCTGCAGCCGCAGGGCGCTCTGCGCGCGGAACCACTCCAGCCGCCCGGCGCTCTGCGCGCTCCTCTCGGGGCGGGGGGGCCCGGAGATGCCGCAGCGGAGTGCCGCGGGGATGGTGTCGAATGGATGAAACTTTTTTGATCCGCGGGTCGAGAGCGCACCTCTTCCAGTCGAAGCTAAGCGGGCCGCGCGAAGCTTGAATTGACAGAGAGGGGGAGGCAGAAGGAGGGCGGCCGTTGATGGAGAAACGGACGGCTGCGTGGTCAGACACTGTCGGAGGTCCGCGCAAACGTCTTGCGGCGGCGCTGGGCCCTCCTCCCCTGGGGGACGGAGCGCGCCCAGGGGCAGCGCGGGAGGCGCTGCCAGGGGGGGGCCCCGGCGCCGATCAGAGGAATCTGCCGGGAGCTCCACAAAGCTAAAGTTTACGAGAGTTGTCCGCCGGATGGGTGGAGGCTGGACCCTGCCGAACGGGTGCTTCGCCGCCCCACGAACTGCAGCAGGCACGTCTGGGAGGAGGTCTTGGTATAAGAGATGTGGGGGCACATTGCTTCGTCGACTCTGAGCTTCGTGATGCGCCCCAGGGCCCTGCGGGCCCATCGGAAGGTAACCGGTTCCCCCGGATAAGAAAGAGTACCCCCCCTTAACCCCTGAGTGGTTATTATCCCCAGGCCAGGCAGATTTGATTGTGGAGATGGGCGGCGAGGCCGAACTTGATTATCGCGGGGGGAAGTTGCAAATCGAAATTGCTATCTTCTTATGTTGACTAGCAACATCTTCAAAACGCTGAGCATGGCAATGGAGGTCTCATCATATCAGCTTTCGCACGTCACGAGCGTGTGGCAGGACCTCTCCTGCGCAGGCCACCTGTAAGCGCGAGACTCGAGGACACCAAGGACAATGTTGTGCGAGGATCTAGTTACACGAGCGCCCAAGATCATCATCATCATCATCATCATCATCATCATCATCATCATCATCATCATCATCATCATCATCATCATCATCATCATCATCGTCATCATCATCATCATCATCATCATCCTCATCATCATCATAATCCTCCTCCTCCGCCGGGAACATCGTTTATTATCCCCCAGACCCCGAACTTTATTACCCCAGGGGTTCAATATCACGGGTAGTCGGATCAGGAACTCTTGTGGGGGGCACCCGTTGGCACGCCACTTTCTTCTTCAGTGTCCCTGCTGTATCGCTGCTCACGCCATGGGCAACATGAGGAATCGGCCCGCAACAGCTACTCGGTACCGATACGCACATGTGTTTAGGATGCAAAAGCTGCATTGCATGTTTGTTTTCCGGCCCCCCCCCTTCCTCTGACGGGAATCCTCCGATATCAACCGCTAGGCTATTACCAACAGGTGCCCACTCACCTCAACACTGCGGCGACGAAATAGGGCCACCTCGTACCCGAGTGGTCCTTTTCCGAAGAGGAGCGGTGAGCGATCTCTACAACAACTTCGGGCCGTCGGATCCAATCATTCCTAGGTCATTCTAAAGTGCGCATGCAGTTTCATGGAGTTGCAGTTCCTGATGCACGTTGATGCTTGCACCCACGCTTGCGAAGAATTGAGGGCAACGATGGCCCTCCGAGAACCTCCGAGGGCCTCCAACTGCTTCCGATGCGAGGCGTTTTTTTCCGTAGCGTGGATGTGGATGTATTTGGGCCCCAGGGGCCCCCGGAACGCCCTCGGCGAGGCGCAGCTGCTGGAGGGCATCCAAAGGCTGCCAAGCCGCCGGGAACCTGTTACGTCAACCGCCCGAAACTGGACGGTTTCCCCCGGGGCCGTGGGCGACCCGAGACAAGGAGGAGGAGGAGGAGGAGGAGGTGGAGGAGGGGGAGGAGGGGGGGGAGGGGGAGGAGAGAAGGGAAAAGGAGGGAGATGGAGGACTGAGGTGGAGGAGGAGAGAGAGGAGGGGGGGGAGGGGTTCTGAGGGGGTTTGGGGGGGAGGGGGAGGAGGAGGCGGAGGAGGAGGAGGGAGGAGGAAGGAGGAGGAGGAAGGAGGGAGTGAGGAGGAGGAAAGGGAGGAGGGGCGAGGGAGGAGGAGGAGGAGGAGGAGGAGGAGGAGGTGGAGGAGGACGGGCCGCCTGAGCCCTTCGGAGAAACCCTCCACCCGAAACCTCGAACCGCGAACATCGAACTTCGATCTTTGGAGGTCTCGATCCCTTCCCCTGGACCGGTTTTTCATCCTGAATCGTTTTTTGACGGTCCCAAGGGCCCGCAAAGGCCCCCAGAGGCCGACAATAGCAACAAACCTCCCGTCATGATCGTTTCATTACCCGAGGGGGTCTGGGCCAACCGCCCGAAACCTCGAACCTCGAACCTCGATCTTCAGGCCTCGCTTCAGCTCTGGGGCTCCCCGCCGTCCCCGCGTCTGGGCTGGTGCCCGCGCCCTCGCCCGGGGCGCCCCCGAGGCCCAACACCTCCCGCAGCGCGCGGGCCCTGTCGCCCGGCTGCGCCAGCGCAGGGCGGTGGCCGGGTCCGGCCGCGGCTGCCTCGCCCCTCCCGCGGTCCTCGTCCTCGTCCTCGTACTACCTCCTCCCTCCTCCCTCCTCCCCCCCTCCCTCCTCCTCCCTCCTCCTCCCTCCTCCTCCCTCCTCCTCCCTCCTCCTCCCTCCTCCTCCTTCCTCCTCCCTCCTCCCCCCCCTCCTCCTCCTCCCTCCTCCTCCCTCCTCCTCTCTCCTCCTCCCTCCTCCTCCTCCCTCCCCCTCCCTCCTCCTCCCTCCTCCTCCCTCCTCCTCTCTCCTCTTCCTAATCCTCCCTTCCCCTCCTCCTCATCCTCCTCCTCCTCTCCTACCCTCCCTCCCCACCTCCTCCTCCTCCTACTCCTCCTCCTCCTCCTCCCATACTCTGTTCCCTCCTCTCCTCCCTCCCCTTCTCCCTTCCCTTCCTTCTACCTCCCTCCTTCTCCTCCTTCTCCTCCCTCCTCCTCCTCCCTCCTTTCCTCCCTCCCTCCTTCTCCCTCCCTCCCTCCTCAACGCTATGTGGCGTTGCGGGAAATGCGGCTGCGGGAAAAACATGGGACGTTTCTGGTTCTGCAAGCAGTGTCACAGTTTGCGAGCCGAGGTCGACGTCTCCACGCCCAAGCCACCTGGCGGTGTATGGGCGAACGGTGCTGGTGCAGCGGGGCAGGCCCCACCATCGGCGCCTCCTCCTCAGCCTCGCCCTGTGGGACCACAAGGAGGGGGAGGACAACCAGGAGTTGGTGCAGGCCAGGGCGTCATCCGCGACGCTGACCTCACGGATGACGAGATGCACCAGCTCATCTCACTCAACAGGAAGATGGGCAACCATGGACACGCCGCGGCGCTCCAGCAGCGCTTGGACAAAAGGAAGGCTGGCTCGGCACCTATACCGATTCAAGTGCAGGCGAATCAATCTGACCGAGCCAGGAAGGCCTTGGAAAAGAAACTGTCCAACGAGCTGGAGCAATTCGAGAAGTGGCAAACATGGTTGGCTGATAAGAAGAATTCTATTCACTCCCTTCGTCAACAGTTGGTCGAAGAGAATGACCGCTACAAGAAGCTCGTTGCGCAGCTGCAAGCAGAGGTTGCACCACCAAGCTCTCCACCTTCTTCGGCTTCTCTTTCGCTCCAGGACTTACTGGACGGGAAGCAGCTATTCGACTCCACCAGTGTGGAGTCGTTCTTCAACGTGGACCCTGAAGTCTACGAGCTTGGCGAAGAGGACCGCAAGCAAATGGCGGCTCGTGCAGAGGACCTCAGCAAGCGGCTTGTCGAGACCACCCAGTTTCGGGGCGGCGGCCAAGCAGCTCGAGGAGGCCAGGCAGCTGCACAAGTCGCACGTCTCGGGCCTGGCGAAGCGTCGCAAGGCCGAGGGAGCGGCGATGCCTGGTGGTGGTCATGTGGATGACGAAGCTCGTGCGGCGGGACCTTCTCCTGCCGTTCAACCTGAAGATCACTCCGGAGCTTCGGCCAGTGCTGGCGCTTCTGAGTCTGACTCGGCCGCCCGCTCCTCTGCTTTGCTTGCCCGCGCCGAGACGGTGCTGGGAGCCGACTTTCAACCACCTGAGCAATCTTTGCCCCCCACCTCGACTGCATAGGTCGAAGTGGGGGGGAGATTTGAAGTCACCTGAGGCGCCAAGTTTTTTGATACCTCCTGGTCCCTCGGATCCGTCGTTGGGGTGCGGCCCTGGTTTGGGCGCCCGTGGGCCTATGTCAGGACCCAGTTTTGGCCCGTCGTCTGGCCCCCCTGTCCCCGAGTCCGACCAGCTTGCCCTCAGATTCCAGACGTGCAATGCCACCTCCTGGGGGCCATGTAAAGAATGGCTCGCCCGCACATCGGCCCATGTCGTGGCCGCTCAAGAACACCACCTCTGTAGTGATGAGTCGTGTCGCTCGGCTTTAGATTGGTGCCTCAGACATGGCTGGAAAGGCCTCTTCTCGCCAGCCCGTCCTGGAGTCGGCGAAGGAAGCTCAGGTGGTGTCGCCTTAGTCTGCCGATCCTTCCTAGGCCTTCACGACCTCCCTCAGGGGTCGGAATTGGTCCCAAGTAGGGCCATTGCGGGTCTGGTTCATTTCCCTGGAGGGCTTGACCAGCCCATCCTGTTCGCCTCGGTGTACATGCATCACTCCGAGGGGCTGACGGACCGAAATCTTGACATCTTGGGGAAGGTTGGGTCGGCAGCAGAGGTGTATGCTAGTGAATGTTTGGTCGCGGCTGATTTCAACATGTCGCCCGACCTCGTCCAGGACAGCGGGTTCACTGAACGCCTCCATGGGAACCTGATCATCCCCCAGGGCGAGGGGACCTGCCTCACCACGGGGGGCATCAACATGCTCGACTATTTCGTTGCGACGAATGGGGTCTCGAAGGTTATTCAGTCGGTCGACGTGGTTACCACCTCGCAGCTCGCTCCTCACTCACCTGTCGAAATCGTTATGTACCCTCGTGCTTGTAAGATGCAGGCTTTGGGATTTTACAAACCTCCTCCCATCCCTGCCCAGCGGCCTATCGGGCCCTCTAAACGGCCTCCCCACTGGGGGCGGCTCCAGGGGCAGGCGAGCGCCCTTCTCGATTCTTTGGTCCCAGGGGAACCCGTCGGTCAGGCTACCCAAGAGTTGA